TATGCCAACTTTACTATGTGTTAACTTTTTTTAGCGAAAATTACTAGAAGGTATAAGAAAAATTGGGTTATTACTAGAGTGTGTAACATTTTTTAAAATGACTATAATATTTGGACATCCCTAGTAAATGACAGTAATGGTCTTTGGTTAAACTTTTTTAATTGAAACAATTTTAATTTATAAATCCACATCACTAATTAACAATACATATCAGCAAAACCGAAATCAAACCGTCTCCTTTCTCTCGTTCTACATAGGGATTAAAAGAAAAAGAAACGAAGAACAGTAATCGTCTCGACGAAGGAACCGCAAGGATACTCCCACTCTCAGAAATCCTCGTCGACATTGTGTTTACTTCCTCTTCCTCGAACTAACGCTTTGTTGTTGAACCGTGTCTTCTCCGATATCCTCTTCCCCAAAATCGTCGTCTTCAATCGTTTTTACGAAATCGTCTTCGCCGCATTCTTATTGTGCGTTGGTTGAGTTTGTGGGTCAGTTATATACATTTGAATCATATATTTTGTTGCGACTGAGATATTTTGCAGCTGTGATATGGGTTTGTTGAGGGTTTTCTTGGATCTGAGTTAGGGTTTTGTTGTGACTGAGTTAAGGTTATGTTATGACTGAGTAATTGTTATGTTATGGCTGTGTCATCGATAGGTCGTGACTAAGTTAATGTTAAGCTGTGGCTGAATTACTGGTATGTTGTGGCTGAGTTATTGTTGTATGAATGGCTGGGTTTTATTTTTATTATGTTGGTGAGTTATTATTATGTTATGGCTGTGTTATTGTTATGTTGGGGCTGATTTATTGTTGGGTTATATGATCAGATAGCTGCATCTGAAGTTAATTTACGGAATTACCCGCCAATACTTTATCTTGAAGGGTATTCTAACCTAGAAGGTAAAGATATTAATCATAATTTCCATCCAGGATATTTTCCACATGTTAGAGAAACAATAAGACATGACGTGTGGGAAGAACGGGTGAACTCTCCCATTGGAGTAGTTACTAGGCTATCTGAACGCGAAAGCATATGGTTTGGTAGGACCGTACACTATCTACTATGTAGACAGCTGCGAATGTCCGGACCGTAGGGTTGAAGGAGAAGATGATGGGGGCGGTGAATCTCCGGTGTAGTCTATCAGTTGTACATGCAAAATGTGAAGCTTTGATATGGGCGATGGAGTGTATGAAGACCCTTAACTTTTCAGATGTAGTATTTGCAACAAACTGTTCTCAATTGGTGAATATGGTGTTGTCACCTGAAGAATGGCCAGCTTTTTCTACACACTTGGAGGAGTTCCAACGCAGTAAGACTTTCTTTCCTACCTTCAAGATCAGACATATTCCAAGAGCTCAGAATTCAGTGGCGGACAAGCTTGCACGAGGTGCTAGTTCCCGTCTGCTATGTTCTATGTCGACTCTGTTTCTCCGGCTTGGTTAGCTGAATCGGTAGCGCAAGCATCATAGTTTAGTTATTGTTGTAAAAAAAAAAGAGAATTCTCTCCAGAGCATGACACATTAGATTTTAAAATGTTTGTTAGACTGTCATGTCAATAAATGAAAAAACTGTATAAACCAATCAAAACATTTTATCTCTCCAGGTCACTTTTGCCTTCTGCTTTACCTTTTCTTCTTCGTTTGTATCACCAATTTCACTTGTCGAAGATTTTTGATCAAAAACCTTAACAATCAGATGGGTTTTTTACTCTTTCTCTTCCTCTTTCGATTTTATCGATCTCTCTCTTCCTCTTTCACTTTGAAATCGAACGAGAATGTGGAAGAAGACAACAAAGAAGAACTTCCGACCCAATCAGGGATCTCCACCACTCTCTTCTCTGGTGAGGTAGCTGAGGCCGGCGAAAGTCTCGGCTTTTCAAGTCTCTTCTCCGTTAATAATCCTTTCCTGCGAAAGAAAGCTATGTCAGTAACCAACAAACCTAATATTGTTTGAATGCTTGGTGTTGATGAACTTAATATTATTTGAAGTCTCTCAAAATATCGTCCCTGGAGAGATTCCGGTGGAGGTCGTACAAGAGAGTCACAAGAAGTTCTTGGCCAATATGGTTTGGGTTCACGAAGAAGTAAATGCATTACTTCTTTTTGTTGTTATCACCTTGTTTGATTGTTGGAACGGTTAGTAGCTTTAGTGGTAAGAAAACCATTAAAATTTTTGAAATGTGGACTTATTGATCAATCTCTAGAAAATCTTTAGTCTTTTATAGGAGGACAAATGTGTAGTACAAACTCAGATTCTCACATTTGTTTCAAATACTTGAGTAAGAACCATCTATAACAGAGCATGATGGACTATCATTTATAGAAGATTAATTTCTCATATTTTTTGTAGACGGATTATCGTTTACAACCATCCACGATATGTGTGCGTTAGACCTAATTTCCACCAAATAAAAACTTATTACACAACCAAATATTGACTATGACCTATGCTTTGAATAAACACATTAGATAGATGTAGACTAGTGAAGATGGCCATGCAAGCTGCAGCAAAGAAAGAAAAGAAAATGATATCTACTGATGTGAAGAAGATAGTGAGAGGTCTGTAGCATTGTTTGTTTAATAAAGTATGATTTCCTTATGATTTTTTTAAGTTTTGAAACCAGAGCCATATCAGTTTTTTAAAAGAATGGTGATTTTAAAATAGACATAATACATAGCATATAAACGAAATTCATAAATATTAATAAAATATATATTGCATTATGTAAACTTAGAAACCTACAAGATAAGACTGTGCCTAATCAAAATTTACACAAAATTCATATAATCAACGGACTTTGTTTTTTATATATTGATTTCAAAGTTGTTGAGATAATCTTTTCTCTGTTTTTTTTTGTTCCTATTGGACGTTTCTTGTGATGGTGTGTTTTTGTTCACCATAAAATAACTTGTTCGAGTTACAAATTTTGTTTAGAGAAAAGATTTAATAAGTATTATTTTAATCTTATAATTCCTAACTCTATTAGTAAATATAATTACTACAAATATAAATTATTTCTCAGATTTTTTTTTTGGGTTCAGAGTTTTCATTTCTCATTTTCTTTTGTCAACTGAAGTTCTGAATGGTTTTTGTTCTAATTCCCAAATTTAAAATTATTTTCTAAGTAAAGTATTATGTCGATTAGTGTTCAAATCAAACATATAGAAAGTTTCTATAAGTTCTGTATTTTATTTATCTATATATATTTTAAATGAAATTTAAAGTAGAAAATAAATAAAGGAGAGAAGTTCTTGACTATATATTAAATTGATTTCAAAATGGTTTTCCTAATCTTTTTAAAATAGTTGCATTCGTAAAAAAATACTTTTTAATCTCTATTATGATAATAGTTTAGTTTCATTTGATTTTTCTATTAAAAATAAGATTTTAAGAATATAAATCATTTAGAGAGTTAAAATATAAAATATCTTATTAAAATATCTTCAAATATTTACTAATTTCAAATAATTTATATTGTAAAGCTATAATTAAAATCTTGTTTATTTTACTTAAACAATTTATAATTTTTATTATTAGTAAAATAACATAAATTTACAAGTAAAAATCAGTTTGTATTAATTCTGCAGCGATAATTACCTAGTTTAAATAGTAAAATTAACTGGGCCATTAAAAATAGGGAATTCGGCCAAAAAACACGAACTTTGCACGAATTGCCAAAAAAGACATGAACTTTTGGGCTGGTTGAAAAAAAACCACAAACTTTTGATTGACTTTAGAATTAATTTACAATGTTTTCGTTGACTTACCAATTTGGCACGCCGTCAGCAAATTTAACAGAAAAAATTAACGTCGTTAATTATTGACGTTAGGATGAAACGACGTCGTTTTAAGCAATTTGAAAATAAAAAGCCGTAGACTCCTGGAGTCGAACCTGGCTAATTAGATGAAATTTCAAGGTAGTTTACCATTAGGCTAGTGGCATATTCAATGTATCTACTAACACATTTACTTTTATTTGGTACTGAATGAATATAAAAAAATTCTATAAAAACTTTTAAAAATCTTTAAAATTTCAAAAAAATGAAATAAAGAATTTTTTTATAAAATTAATTTTGAAATTAAAATTAAAATAAAATTTTATTATTCTTTAAAAAAATCAGACCGGAACTTATAAAATTTTATTTTTCTTTCAATGTATCTATTAACACATTTACTTATATTTGGTACTGATTGAATATAAAAAATTTCTACGGAAACTTTACAAAATTGTTAAAATTTCAAAAAAAATGAAAAATAAAGATTTTTTTTTATAAAATTAATTTTAAAATTAAAATAAAATTTTATTTTTCTTTAAAATAAACTTTTGGAAGATTTTTGATTTTCTTAAATAAAAATAATATTTTATTTTAATTTTAATTTCAAAATTAATTTAAGAGAAAATATTAAATTTTGAAATTAAAGATTTTATCTAAAATTAATTTTGAAATTAAAATTAAAATAAAATTTTATTTTTCTTTAAGAAAATCAAAAAACTTCCAAAATTTTATTTTAAAGAAAATAAAATTTTATTTTAATTTTAAAATTACTTTTATAAAAAAGATCTTTATTTTTTCATTTTTTTTTGAAATTTTAAATATTTTTTAAAGTTTTTATAGAATTTTTTTATATTCAATTAGTACCAAATATAAATAAATGTGTTAATAGATACCTTGAAAGAAAAATAAATTTTTATAAGTTCCCGTCTAATTTTTTTATAAAGAAAATTATTTTAATTTCAAAATTAATTTTTTAAAAAAATTCTTTATTTTTCATTTTTTTAAAAATTTTAAAGATATTTTAAAAGTTTTTATAGCATTTTTTGTATATTCAACCAGTACTAAATATAAGTAAATGTGTTAGTAGATACATCAATCCGGTTCGAATCTAGTGGTCTACGTCATGTTTCTTATATAGATTTTTTTTTGATTGAATTCTCATTAAAAATAGGAATTCGGATTTAAGTGAAAATACTGAATAAAAGGAAAATGTGAAGAAATGTGAATGTTGTAAAGTTTCTGGGTTTAAGGCTTTTAAGCTGCTGAGAAGGAGAATACCTCAAAAAAAATGGAATCGAAAGCTATTTGCTTAGGGTTTCTTCCGCCAAGACTTCAACTTTCATCTCGAGTTTCACTCTCCCGTCCTCCTGTAAGTGAAACCAACCCATCAAAATCTCGTCTTTTTCAATTTCGATTGCTTCCAAAAAACCTTATCCAAAACTTCTCATTTTCTCCAGGGTTCTTCCACATCTCCCAAAACTGATGTCAGACGTAAGTATCTATTCCTCTTGATTCACTTTGGTAACTCTTAAACCCTAAATTGTATTACCAAAGACTGATACTTTGTTTTTGTTGTTGTCATTACAAGAAACACTTGTCTGGAACAAACCAAAAGGTGGAGTTTACTTGAACCGAGGCCGTGTCCTATGTTCTTCTCAACCTGATGGTTATGCTCCTCGAGCTGAGCTGTTCCGTGGGAAGTCTGGTTCGGTTTCTTTCAACGGCCTAAGCCACCAGCTGGTTGAAGAAAGTAAACTTGTCTCAGCTCCGTTTCAAGAAGAAGACAAAGGTTCCTTCTTGTGGGTTCTGGCTCCTGCTGTCTTGATATCCTCACTGATTCTTCCACAGTTCTTTCTCAGTGGTGCCATTGAAGCTACCTTTAAAAACGACACCGTTGCAGGTAAATAAACATCACACTAATGCACGTTTTGAGTGGTAGCATCAGGTTATGAATTTTATGGACTAGTAACTATGTTGATAGTTTATGTTTTAAGTGTAGATTGTAATAGTTCTGAATTTAGCTTTAGAATCTGACTTCTGATGTGTAGTAACTAAATCCTCTTCTTGATCTTGAATTATCTATTTTCAATCAAGAACACATTACCAAACCCTCTTAAAGCCAATTATAGTTTGTTATGATTTATATGGACCGGACCAGTAGAGTAGAAAGTATCTTGATAGTTATGCTTGAAGTGTAGAATGTAATTGTTTTGAATCTAGGCTTAGAACCTGACTTCTGATGTGCAGTAGCTAGATCTTCTTCTTGATCCTGAGTTGTCAAATTACAATCAAGAACACATTATTAGACCCTGTTAAAGCCAATAAGCTTCCTTTATGATCTAACTCTTATTTGTGTGTGTGATACTACTTGCACTCTTTTAATCAGACTTGTAAGAAATTATGTTTTCTTGATGCAGAGATTGTTACTTCTTTCTGCTTTGAGACGGCGTTTTATGCTGGTCTGGCGATATTCCTGTCTGTGACTGACCGAGTGCAGAGGCCATACTTAGACTTCAGCTCCAAGAGATGGGGTCTCATCACTGGACTCAGAGGATACCTTATGTCCACATTTCTGATGATGGGTTTGAAAGTTGTAGTCCCTGTGTTTGCTGTATACATGACTTGGCCAGCTCTTGGAATGGATGCCTTGATTGCAGTCCTTCCGTTCTTGGTTGGATGTGCGGTTCAACGAGGTTTCGAGGCTCAGCTTGAAAGACGTGGCTCGTCCTGTTGGCCCATTGTTCCAATAGTCTTTGAGGTAAACAACAAACAAACAAACTTATATGGTGTTTGAGAAACACTTTTAGCTACAATCTTGTTCTAAAGAGTAGCTATGGTTGTATGCAATGGCAGGTGTATAGGCTGTATCAGGTGACAAGAGCAGCCACTTTTGTTCAGAGGCTTATGTTTATGATGAAAGATGCGTCAACGACCGTAGAGATTACAGAGCGAGGAGTTGCGCTGGTTGGTTTGGTTGTGACTTTGCAGTTTCTAGCTGTTCTGTGTCTCTGGTCGCTGATCACTTTTCTAATGAGACTCTTTCCTTCGAGACCAGTAGCTGAAAACTACTGAATCAATAGTGTTAGTGAAAGCCATTGAGCTTTGATTTTCTGTGTTTATTTCAGAGGATTAATGGGTTGTATTGAGTCAGAAATTGCAATGTAGGACAGTTTTTGAGAGTTGATTGATCACGTGGGATGAACTTGGCTGCAACTGTCATAAGAATCATCTTCTGAACTTCAAATCTTGATGAGATCTTGAAAAAGGAAATGAATGAGAATAATGGAACATCTCTATCCAGAGTATTTTCTCATCGCATCCATGTATTAAATTGGTACGGCCAACTTCAAGATCATCATCAATGCATCTTTAAGATGAATGACTTTTCTTGGATCATAGGGTTGACTATGTGATGGCTTTGCATAAGATTGGATGTACAAATTTAATACATGTATCTGCTCAACGAAGAGTATGGAAAGCCTAAAAAGTCAACATTTTGGTTTGTCAGAAGAAAATGGGGAAACATTTCACTCCCAACATTTATGGGTCGATGAGTGTTCTTCTACTTAACCGATTTACAATTTCTATATGGACCTGCCATCTTTAGTCCATTAATTTCACTAGGTGTTATATATTATAATAAAATATTATAGTCTATAATAATGGTTTAAGTATTTTAATTTTTTTTGGGCAAAATTATTTTAAAATTTAGATTTTAGTTTCTAAAATGAATATTTTTCATAATTTTTCTATTATTATTTTTTAAGAAAACAATTATATACCAGATATATGCTCAATGTTATTTCTCTACACACAAATCCGCGTGAATCACGAGAAATTGTGTATAGCAAAGAAAATAAAGAGAATCAAGATATGAATATCAACATAAATAAGAATGAGGGAATCCCGCAAAGGAAATGAGGCTTTAATTTTTTACGGATAAACTAATACAACAAACAGTTCGAAAGTGGTGAATAAGGAGAAGTGGGCCGGGAATAAGAAAATGATAGAGAAGCACGGGAAAAACCCAAAAAGTTAAATAATAAGTCCACGAGAGATTTGGTGTTTGGTCCGACCAAAAGAGAAATCAGCCTATCGAAATCTGGGAAACAACTGAGAGTCGAGAAATTTTGATGCAGGGAAAGCTGGGTGTGTTTTCAGGGATAGTGTGGAGGAAGTCAGAGTTACGTCCAAACCTTTGCAGTTAAGAGATGAGGAGCTGGAGAACCCGATTGATAGATGGATAGTATCATCAGTGGGACGGAACAAAGAGAGACTGATAAGCAAACGAAATCACAAGGGGATGAAAGGCTTTTGGTCCTCACATAACATGGTATCCCGGTAATGCAATTAAACTTTATCATAACAAAGATGATGAATTGCATATTCTGGAATTGATGGGGGGAAATAAACCAATTTCAGACGTTCTATTCAGTATATTATGAAGAAGTTCAATATTGATTTTCTTGCGTTGTTTGAGACCCACGCGAAAGGATATAAAGAGATCAAAATCTGCCACAGTTTAGGTTTTGATAACTTCTTTCATGTGGATGTCATTGGTCAAAATGGCGGTATTTGGCTTTTGTTGAAAAATCATGCTGGTGTTCTAACGGTTTTGGAATCGCCAGAACAGTTTGTTCATGCACATATGGAGATTGGGATGGAGGTCATCCACTTCATTGCTGTTTATGCTGCTCCTACAGTTAGTCGTAGAAGTGGACTGTGAAGACAATTATAGCGGATGATTAAAAATATTAATGAATCGGTATTGGTAGATGGCGATTTTAACACTATCTTGAGGTTGGATGAGAGGCCAGGGGGTAACGGTAGACTTTCACCGGATTCTTTAGATTTTGGAGAATGGATTAATGAGATAGCCTTGGTTGCGGTTCAGAGGAAATGCGTTCACATAGAGAAAAGGAAAGGATACTCGGAATTTTGTGGCTAAATATTTAGACATGGTCTTGTGTAATGCTCAACCACAGGTAAGATGGCAAGAGGCGGTGGTTTCCAATCTTCCGTTTCTAGCATCTGATCATACACCAGTCTATGTCCAACTAGATCCGGAGCAGCAGGTAACCACAAGAGGAGACCTTTTAGATTTGAGGCTGCATGGCTTAAACATGAAGGGTTTAAGGAGTTACTCTTGGCATCTCAGAATGGGGAGATGTGCACTCCTGATGCTCTTGCATCATTGAAACTGAAGCTTAAGAAATGGAATAAAGAGATATTTGGGGATGTGAGACAACGTAAGGAAAAATTAATCGGAGATATTAAGGGAATTCAAGAGGAATTGTAGAGGAATCTGACTGATGATTTGTTGTTTATGGAAACTGCTTTACAGAAGGAGTTTGATGTTGTTCTTGAACAAGAGGAAGAACTCTGGTATCAGAAATCACGTGAGAAATGGATAGTACTTGGAGATAGGAATACAAAGTTCTATCACACGAGTACAATTGTGTGCGAAGAAAGAGAAAGCTAGTTTTATTCCAGGCAAACTTAGTACTGATAACATTGTTGTGGTCCACGAAGCTGTTCACTTAATGAGAAAAAAAAAGAATGCAGAGGCTGAATGCTTCTTAAGTTGGACCTTGAGAAAACCTATGATAGAATCTGATGGGACTTTTTAGAAGACACCCTCCAAACAGAAAAGTTGCCAGAGATATGGATTAATGGATTATGCAATATTTAATGCACCCGAGAATGAGTTTATACTGGAATGAAGAGATAACATAAGCGTTTACGCTTAAGCGTGGACTTCGGCAGGGAGATCCTCTGTCACCGTACTTATTTGTGTTATGTATGGAGCGATTGTGTCATCAAATCGAATTATCTGTTGCCAATAAGGAGTGGAAACCAATCAGGCTGTCTAGGGGCGGACCATCCTTATCACATGTTTGTTTTGAGGACGATCTGATCTTGTTTTCAGAAGCCTCAAAATCGCAGATTCGAGTGATTCGCAATTAGTTCTGGAGATATTTTGTGGAGCTTCTAGGTAGAAAGTAAGTCTGAAGAAATCACTAATCTTCTTTTTTTGAGAATGTTCATCGTGATTTCGAAAACTCAATAAGCAGTGGTATCAAAGGAACTAAAGAGTTGGGAAAATACTTGGATATGCATGTCTTGCTAAAAAGGATAAACAAGGAGACGTTCGGGTAAGTAATTGAGAAAGTTTCTTTCAAACTTGCTGGATGGAAGAGGAGGTTTTTGAGTTTGGCTGGGAGGATAACACTTACTAAATATGTCCTTTCATTGGGACTGTCCGATATCTGAAGGGTTATGACGCGAATTGTTCTCCCAAGTAGACACCAACGTTTCTTTAACCAATCTCTCCTAGAATGGATGTATGAGAACCTTGCGAAGAATTAGCCAAAACAAGGGGACCTATGGCCAACGCTCTTTGCTCTGACTTCGTGGTGGTGCTAGAAATGGAGATGTGCTTATGTCTTTGGCGAGAAAGGAAAATGTCGAGACATGATGCAGTTTCTTAAAGACAAGGTTCGGGAAGTGATAAGGACAAATGAAAAACTCAGAGATCACTTGCCGGTCTGGGAACGTGTAGATATGCAGATCTCATGGTATAGACCCGCAAATGGCTGGTTCAACACAGACGGAGCATCTAGAGGTAACCCGGGACTAACTACTGCGGGTGGGGTTGTGCGAGATGAGTACGAAACATGGCATGGAGGTTTTGCACTCAACATTGGTATTTGTTTGGTTCCTTTGGGAGAATTGTGGGGTTTAATTATTTGCTATTAAATCTAACTTTACAATGTGATTTATAAATTATTAATTACTGATTAAATATAAATTAAATAAATATTATAATTGATTTTTTTTAATAAAAATATATTACAATATAAGATTGATAACAATCATTTAGTGATTTTACTTGAAAATAAAATAAAAAACACTACAAGAAAACAAAGCATTTACTAGGAAATTTTACTAGGAAAATTCTTCCTCGTAAATTTACTAAGCCTTTACTAGGATCTTACGAGGAAAGCAAATTTCCTCGTAAGTTCCTCGAAAACTTACGAGGAAACACTTTCCTCATAAGACCTTAGTAAATTTACGAGGAGATTACGAGGAAAAATTACTGTTCCTCGTAAGGCCGTTGTAAACACTTTCCTCGTAAAGGCGTAGTAAAATATTACTACGAGATTAGGAGGAAATAGTTTCTTACTACGAAATTAGGAGGAAATAGATAGGAAATATCGAATTTAAATAAAACACATGTTTTGTACCTACTTTTCCTAGCAATTTCCTAGTAAATGCTCAGATTCAAAATTTTCTATAAATACCACCTTATGTGATTCATTTGAAACACACCAAAAAAAACAGCTATAAGCTTGATCAAAC